TTTTTTTTTTTTTTTTTTTAACTTTGTCACTTTATTCAATAAATAAAAAACACATTCTCAAAACTTATGTCTAATTACGTTCTTACTAGCTAGTGAGAATCTCATGCGATACACGGGGTTTCGTATCTTAGAATATTTTTTCATAACTTTATTTTAACAATATATTAGCTCCCTTACCCGTTTATATTAATATAAAAAATATTTTAACACACACACACACACATATATATATATATATATATTAATACAGAAAAAATAATAATATTACATACCTTGGTTCATCATTATACTCAAATATTATTTTATTCAAAAAAATTTTGTCGTATAACGCCATTATTATTATAACAGTTATAGAAGTAATTTTATTTTTCTATCTAATGATAAATATTTATATTAATATTATTTATCGATGAAATTAATTTTAAATTATATAAAGAAATTTAATGTTTATTAGAAATATAATTATATGGAAGGTAAGATAAAATTGAATGAATAGACTCTAATTGAATAAACCCACTATTTAAGAGATCATTTAATACTGTCTAATTTTATGGTAAATAAAATTTAAATAATTTCTCAAAGTGACATGTAATTAATTTTGGCAGATTTTTTTTGTATGTATAGATATAGATTTCACCTCATACCTCATGACACACGCAAGAATTAAAATCATATTACTAGGCCCTAGGCCTCAATTAAATAATCTAATTAATATAGATACCATTTAGCTACAAATGATGAGTCCTCTAATTCATTGACAAAATCATTTGCGTATGACACAATCAAGTTTGATGGATCACAATAGGAGTCTTCACTCTACATGCATTAATTCTTATCAAATTTGATTAAATAGTCACACAAGTTATTACCACAAAATCATGATTGAAAATGTTCACGGTTCTATAATCATGACGTAGTGAAATTTATATAGTCAGATGAATATATATTTGTATGATTATATCTAATGTGTGTGTTTATTAAATAATAAAAATTTGTATGATTATATCTAATGTGTGTGTTTATTAAATGATAAAAAAAAAAATCCGAAGAGTGTAGGACAATCAATGATAAGCAGGGTCGTGAACGAGTCAGAAATTGAGCTTGAATTTGACTCGTTTATTAATATTAACGAGTCGGGTTCGAACAACGAGCTGAGTCTTATCGAACTGAGTCAGACCCGAATCATTATAAAAACAAGTTTTTATGTGAGCTCGAGCATTGTCAAGTCGAGCGGAGCTCACAAGTGACCGCTCTGTATCATTTAACTGCTCTATATATATCCATAAGAAAGAATCTACCATATGATGCAATGACTCCCGCATTTATTCAAACAAGCAAGATTTTTTATTCTATTTTCTTTCTT